GGCCCCTACAAGCCCCCAAGTAGCCCCACGAAGCCCCCAAGAGAGCCCCAAGAGGCCCCCAACAGGCTGCAAGAAAGCCCCAAGAGGCCCCCAAGAGACCCCCAGGAAGCTCCCAGGAGGCCCCCAAGAGGCCAGGCAGACCCCCCCAAGAGACCACCAAGAGGGCACACCCAGAGCCATCCACGAGGCCTCCCAAAGTTCCCAAGAAGTTCCCACGAAGCTTCCAAGGGCTCCCAAGACCCCACGAGGCCTCCAAGAGTTCCCAAGAAGCTTCCCAGAAGCCTCCAAGGGCTCCCAAGAGGGTCACAAGTACTCCTCCTCAGAAGCTCCTTAATGCTCCCAGAAGAGACTCCCAGAAGCATCCATGAGCTCTCCGAGATGCCCCCTGCCCAGATCCCCAACACTCAGTTTTCTCGCGTCCCTCACCCTTGGATCCTTCACTGCGTTTTCCTCCAATTCAAGTCTGTTGTGATGCATCATCACATGCGTGGCGCGCGAGCGCCCGTGACGGGTGGGTAGCGCGTCCGCGGCGGCGCGGGTCGGGTCCGGCGGGCGGGACAATTCGCCGGCCCAACGGGCCAGAGGCGTGCTAAAATCTCCGGTAACTACTCAACCATATTTCTAATTCGCGCGCGCGGGGCGGCCCCTGGGGGCCCCGGACGAAAAGTACCCCGGCCGGGTCCAGGGCGATCTCCAGGGGGGAAGCTATTTTTCGCCACCCCTCACGAGGATCGTGGCCCCCGAGGGGGCGGCTGCAATCGACTACCCCCCTTCCCGCCCCAAGGGGCCCCCAAGAGCCCCTAAGAGGCCCCAGGGGAGCCCAAGACGCCGCCAAGGAGCCCCTAGACGCTCCCAAGAAGCCCCCAAGAGACCCCCTAAGACGGCCCCGAGAGACCCCAAATAGCGCTCCAGGGCTGGCGGAATGAGCGAAACGATTAAATAAATTCACCTGACGAATCAACGGAGGCGAAACACGAGCCCGCACGGCTTAATTCACGAACAACATGTGCATGAGCGCGGCCGTCGGTGAACATACTATCACGAAAACCATACGGGTTAAAATTCCGAGGCGGATCTTCACGAACCCAGAAGGCGGCAGTGGCCTCAGGAACAGGCCGCGGAACATAATCCACAGGAATGGCAAACGCTCTAAAACGCGATAGCACTGATTCGGTTTAGGACAAACCGTTTTTCATAGTATCGTTAGTTATCTACAAGGCTAGAACGAAGCTCGGCAATCGCAGGACACGCGCAAACCCAAAGACGGCGATGGATGGTGTCGGGGGCGAAGCCACACATAGCACCACTCTGGTCGACGTCGTATCCATGGCATTTGGCCTTCTGGCGTGTCCTATTCGCGTTCGTCGCTAAAGCTCTACTGCGCCCCTGCTCGAATGCCGCGCAGCGCTTGCTGCGTATATTTTTCCACGACGTCAGAACACAACCTGCGCGGCGCGCCCCATTTCCCACCGCCGTCCCACTCCAGAACACGAAGCACGGCCAGTTTAAGATGACGCTTCATGAGCTGGAGGGGGATGAGAGCGAGGAAGAGCTCGATACCCACTTCGGTACCGAACGCGGCAAAGTTTCTCTTGGTCAGGGAGATCCTCTCCAGAGACTTCCGCACGGCTGAAACTGGGTCTGAGACAGCCCCCTGCGCGCATGAACCCTTGCTGGACAAAACCGTCAAGGAGCGTCCGCTCGCGGGGAGTTTGATAATTTTGCCGCAGCCCGACGAATGGCGAGGAACCCGCGGTCGGCGACGCCACGAACCTCGCTGCCACGCAGAAGGCCTGGCAGGGTCCAGCAGTGCAAACCCGAAGAGCCCTTCGCTGCCCCAGTGAAGCGCACAGAGACGCCGCCCTAGAAGCTCTGCGCTTGAAAAAAGGCCAACCGGATCTTGAGTTTCTTGGAGCGGCCCTGCGCCCGCGACACTTCCCAACCGAACCGTCAATCCCATGGGTAGTCAAACTGTCCGCAAGGCGGCCCGTAAAATCAGCGCCCAGTCTGGTCTGGATGGCCTTCCCTCAGGCGCGCGAGGAACACGCGAGGCAGGATGTACATTGCGCCAACCCGCCACCAACCCCGCCCTCCATGGCGCGCAAAAGGCAAAACTTGAAGGGTCCCGCTCACAAGGGACCACCCCATCAAAGCAACCAGCGGCACTGAGGCCAGAAACATCGACGCACAGGGCAACGTCAGCCGCGGGGTGGAAACGAACGCGGCCCAGCGAATCCATGCTGCTCACCCGAATCAAGGTCGCGAAACGAGGAGCCAGCCACGATTTCGACTTCACGAACAAGGGCCACCCAAACAACCTCCGAGAGAAAGAAACCGCGGGGCCCAAGAAACCCCAGTGCCCAACTTGGCCATGGCAACACGAAAAATAACGGAAACACACCTAGCTCGAAGCCGACCCAAATTAGTAAGTTCGAAATATGTACACAGACCCCACAGAAGCGCAGCAGCAGACTTTGCGCGAGCCACGCCGCACTCACGCTTAACACTGCGACGCCAGACGGCGTCAGCAGCTCCTTGATAGTTGCCTGCCGCGAAATACGGGCGCGAATTTCTCCCCCCCCCCCCCCCCTCCTCGGCAAGACGGCGACGGGAACGCCCCCCTATGCTTGTGACACCGAATGGCCTTAGACAGATGGGGATCAAGACGACAAAATGAGATACAAAAAACTAGAAAACGGGGCAGCTTTCCTAGATAGCTAAAAACAGCTTCTACGTAGCTCACGAAGCGACCTGAACGCGCGCGCGGGATGGGCAACGTCGAACCCGCGGCGGCGACGCGCCGAATCAAACCACGGCCCAGCGCGCCAGTAAATCAACAAGGAATGCCGCGCGGGTTCTGCACGCGACGCCGCGGCGATGGTCGCGGCGCGGGCTTGCACGCGACGCGCCCCAATGCCTCGTTCACCTTTCCCTCCTCGACCCCTTCACCAGCCTTTCCCTTCCTCGTCTCGGCCCCTCCTCCTCCTGATCATTCTCCTCCTTAGCTTTCGCCCGACCTCCCCCCCTCTACCCGTCGCGCGCCAATCTCGCCGTGCCGCGGCGGCGCCTTCTCCTGCCGCGAACCCCTCGCCCGCCGCTCCCGCCCCTTACAGGTCTGGATGCATAGAAAGGAAAATCCTCGAGTCCTGGCCTGGGCGACAATGGCAGAATATCTTGGCTGAGAAGCGGGGGTTCGCCCGCTGTGCATGACCAAAGACAGGCGGTGGCCCCTGCCGCCAGCGCTCCGTCAGGAAGGTTCCTGATCGGCGGCGACAGGAGCAGGAGTGCCTGGCGCAGGCGGGGGCTCAGACTCCCCCGCGGTGCGTCGGACTTTCTTGGCCGTGGCTGCCAGCCAGTCGGCGACCCGCTCGCGCGCTCCCGAAGATACGTCGTCGCTCTGAGCGCCCGACCAAGCCGACCTGAAGTTGCGCAACACCTCCTCGCCTGCCTGAGAGACGCGCGGCATCTCCACATCGCCCTGGCCTCAGCCATGCTCGCCCGACACCGTCCCGCCCCCCACACCCCCCGCCGCTAGTCGGAGTAGGAGGCGCCGAAGCAGGGCCAGCACGCGACTGACCAAAAGACTGGCAGTTAGGCTTGAGCTGGGGCCAGTTCTCACGAATGGCCGCCAGATTACCTTCCTGAAGGAACTTGTCGAACGACTCTCCCTTGGCACCAAGATCGACTGACTCGGCTGGTGCATGAACTAAAAGAGATGAGACCTTCGCCGCCAACTCCACGAGCCTCTGCGTAAGCTGAGATTGCTGCGTGACGGCCCCGACGCGCTGCTCCTTGAACTTGGCCATCCGGCCCTCGACCTCGGCACTCTGCTTATCGAGAGAAGAAACGACCTTCTCGTGCTTAGTGAGAGCCTGTTGACCTTAATTAAGTAGCTGCAGCAGAGGGCGCCACTCGATAGCCGATGCGCGCACAACGGAGACCGACTGCTCGACCGAAGCCACAAGCGCATCCCTCTGCGGGAACTCATCCGTGGGCTGGCCCAGGAGAAGCTGCATCTGGGCCAAGAGAGCCTGTGGATTTTCGGGCACGCCCAAACGTCCCCCAAGCCCTTGGCCACCTTGAGCCTTGCCTGCTGCCACACTGTGACCTGACTTGATACGTGCACCCTGCTGCGCCTCCGAACGCGGAGGACCATACTTCCACTGCCCAGTAGGACCAGGAGAGAGAGCAGGACCAACGCGAGGAAGCGGAGTCCAGCAGTTGGCGCACCACTTGAACCAGGGTTTGCTACACCTTGCAGTCCCACACGAGAGACACTTGGCACCGACATCGCGCCCCGCCATCGAACAGTCAGGAGCAACAGGTCAGCACGAACCTGCTCCGCCAGGAGCTCACAGGATGCTGCGTCGCCTGGCGGCTCACGCAGCGGTGCGATGAAAGAACTGGGGTCTAGCCGCGGACTAGCGGTACCCACTTGTTCCACAGGGAAGCACAAAACCTTGAGCCAAAATGACTACGGAGGCGCGGCAGCGAGAGCGAAGCAACCAAAAGTGAAAACATAAGGGCGCGGCAGCATGAGTAAGCAGAGTAATCCGAACATGGGCAAGAAAGAAGGCGGTACAAAAAAACTCCCAGAAATGGAAACAAAGGCGCGCGGCAGAACGACGAGAAGCACCCATTAGTGGGAACGAAAATGGCGACAATTGCAGCACAAGTCGCAGCCTCTCAGGGAGCCGCGAGGTCTCGGCTGGGTCCGACTGCACCTCCACCCCACTGGTCTAACATACGAGAGCGAGCAATGACATTAACATAAAAACTCTGAGGTCCGCGCGGATTTCATAGATCCGCGCTGGACCCCCCTGGCGGCACCTCCAGCGCCACCCCTGGCGCGCTCCGCGCGCCAGGGACGGGGTCCAGCGCGGATCCAGGCAATCCGCGCGGACCTCCGAGTTTTGATGTTTATGTCATTGCTCGTTCCCCTACGCGCGTCTTTTCGCCGCACCACGAGATGCGTCGGCAGGGCGCACAGACGAGACGGGTCACTCGTCCGAGTCGTCCTCGTCGCTGGAGCCGCCGCCATAACCACCGCGCGCCAGCCCCGCGGCGCTCTCGCCGCCGCTGCCGGCCAGGTCGGCCAGCAGGTCCTCCGCGAGCCCCGGCCCGCCCGCACCGCCGCCGGCCGCCCCAGCGGGCCCGGCCCCCACGGAGTCGCTGCTTGAGGACGTGTCCTGCTAGGAGAGGGAGGAGGAGGAGGAGGAGGAGGAGGAGGAGGAGGAGGAGGAGGAGGAGGAGGAGGAGGAGGAGGAGGAAGAGAGGAGGAGGAGGAGGAGGAGGAGGAGGAGGGGAACGAGCAATGACATTAACATAAAAACTCTGAGGTCCGCGCGGATTTCATAGATCCGCGCTGGACCCCCCTGGCGGCGCCTCCAGCGTCACCCCTGGCGCGCCCCGCGCGCCAGGAGGAGGGGGGTCCGACGCGGATCCGAGAAATCCGCGCGGACCTCCGAGTTTTCATGTGTATGCCGTTGTTTGCTTCCCTACCCACGGACGCGTCCTGCTGCCGGAGGCGGTCCACGCGCCGCCGCATCTTGCCCAGGAAGCTGATCTCACGCTGCACCTCAAGACGAAGCCAGGACGAGGGCAAAATCGGGTGACAAATCGAGAACCTCTGAGATCTGGCGGCTCTGGAAGATGTATCGGGCGCCGCGGCCTCCCCAGAGCGTTCCGGAACACGCTGAGAGCGTTCCAGAACGCTCTGGAACGGATTCACCCTCGTCCTGGCCCCGTCCGACACCTGCAGGAAGAAGTCGGTCTTCGCGCCGGTGTGGACCGCCCACATGTCGTCGAACACGCGCCCGTCCGCCAGGGCGCGACCCCCGTAGAGCAGCACCGTGCCGTCTGGCAGCGCGCATGCCCCGCAGCCTCTCCGCGCCTCGAGAGGCCTCCGAGGTGGGGTCGGAGGATCGCGCCGCTCCGCCGACTCATCGGCGATGCATCGGCGATGCGTCGGCGATGCACTGGTGGTGCACCAGCGATGCGTCGTCGACGTGGGCGATGCATCGGCGACGTCGACGTGAGGCAAATCGGGCTGCCCCCATCGAGCCGCATCGGCGATGTATCGGCGATGCGGCGCGATCCGCCGACCCCATCTACTCCGACCCCATCCATGAGAAGACCAAAAAGGTACTCATGCCGCGACTCCACAGACCTCTCCCAGGGTGCGTCCTGACCAAAATCTCGAGGCGAATCCAGTGGTGGCGACGAGGGCCTCCCAGGAGGCCCATCGTAGCGGTATCCCAGACCTCCGACGGCGTAATTCTGCTCGCAACCTCGACCCCCAGAGGTCTCGACCCTTCTCCGGGACGGGTTTTTCATCCCGAGCCTTAGGTCGCGCATGTCCCCCTACAAGGGAATCTTGCTCGAAAAATTAAGCATTCGAAAATACTCAAAAAATGTTCCCCATTGTATTTTTTTAGAATTTTCGAGCATTCCTCCTGTAGAGGAACAGGCCCGACTCAACCCGAGCCGTTTCTTGACGGCCCCGAGGCCTGGTCAGGGCACCTGGAGGCCGAACATAACGAAAAACCTTCGTGATTTCTTCACAGACCGACGGGGTCTGGATGAGTACCTTTCCCTCCTAGAGGCCTCCTAAATGGGGTCGGAGTAGATGGGGTCGGATGATCGCGCCGCATCGCCGATACATCGGCGATGCATCGGCGATGCATCGGCGATGCATCGGCGATGTAGCAGCGATGCATCGTCCACGTCGGCGATGCATCGGCGACGTCGACGGAAAGCAAGTCGGGCTGCGCATCGAGGCTCCGGCGCATCGCCGATGCATCGGCGATGCGGCGCCATCCTCGGAACCCTCCTCTACCCCGACCCCAGCTGGGAGCCGTATGAATCTGTGGGAGGCCTCGCACCTCGGGGGCCGCCTGGCCCAGCAGCTGCACGGCCCGCGGCCGCCCGGCCACCACCGCCCCGGCCGCGCCGGGGCCCAGCAGCAGCAGGCTCTCGGAGCCGCAGGCCAGGCGGCAGGCCGCGTGGCCCCGCTCGGAGCCCGGGGCGCACGCGGCCCCGGGGCACGCGGCCGACCACCGGAGCGACGCGTCGCGGAGCCCGTCCAGCCAGAGGTGATGGGCCAGCTGTCCGCCGCTGCCACCATGGGTAGCACGGGGGAGGAGGGAGGATAGGGGAGGTCCTCCTCCTCCTCCTCCTCCTCCTCCTCCTCCTCCTCCTCCTCCTCCTCCTCCTCCTGCTCCTCCTCCTCCTCCTCCTCCTCCTCCTCCTGCTCCTCCTCCTCCTCCTCCTCCTCCTCCTCCTCCTCCTCCTCCTCCTACCTGTGGTAGTGGTGGTGGAAAGTCGGCTCATCAAGAAGCAGGCGTCGGGGCAGCGGGCAGGGCGGCCTGCCGGGACCAGGTCTTCCCCGCCGACGACCAGCACGCCCTCGGCCCCGCGGCCCTTGGAGAGCAGGGTGCCGCTGTGCCCGGCGCGCGCGCCAGGGGAGACACCGCACGCGGCGCTCGGGACCTGCGTCCGGCAGTCCAGCGTCTGCAGGTCCAGGACGTCCACGGTGCATGTGCCGGGGACCCCTCCGACGAGCAGCAGGTAGCCGTGCGCAAAGCGAGGCCCGGAGAGGCGAGGGGGCACGAACGTGGCGGAGTGGCCGCAGCGCGCGGAGGGCAAGTCCCCGGTGCGCAGCCACTCGGCCCGCACCGCGCCCGAGGGCGTGAAGCTCAGCGCGAGGATCCCGAAGAGGCCGCCCCCCCCCGCGGCGTCACGGCCGCCGCTGCCGCCGCCCACCGCGCGGCGGCCAGTCACTGCCACGCGCAGCTCGCTGCCCGGGCCCCGCTGCTCCAGCGGCTCCTCCTCCAGCACGGTCACGGTGGCGCCTGCAGCCACTGGCGGCGGCGCTCCGGAGACCTCGACGGGGTGCAGCACCAGCGGCGCCCCCAGCCTGCCAGCGTGCAGGTCGCCCCCCGCGCGCGCGAGACGCCGGCCGCCGAAGACGAACAGCCAGCCGGCCCAGCAGAAGAGCCTCGGCGAGTCCCCGCGGCCGCCCAGCGAATGCTGGCTCGGGACGCGCGCCCAGCGCGCCGTGAGGCACAGGGCACGCCTCCGCATGGCGCGATGGCAGAGGAAGAAAGAACGCCATACGCATAAACGTGTGGCGCGCCGCGCGGATTTGTTGGATCTGCGCTGGACCCCCCTCCCTGGCGCGCCGAGCGCGCCAGGGGCGCCGCCAGGGGCGCCGCCAGGATCGCCGCCAGGGGGGCCCAGCGCGGATCCAGGGAATCCGCGCGGAGCGCCAAAAATGTATACATGTGGCGTTGTTTCCTCCTCGAGATAGACGTCCTGCGGACCCGCGTGGCGGCGGGCGTCCGGCAGCGAGGCCGCGGCGAACTCGCGGCCGAGGCAGCCCCGCCAGAACGCCGGGTCCGCGAGCGCGGGCCTCAGCCGGGGCAGGGCGCGCGCCAGGCAGGCGGCCTCGAAGCCGCGCAGGTGCGCCAGGAGGAGCTGCAGCACCTCAGGGCTGGGCCCAAACGCTCTTTGTCGTTGTGTTTTCGCGTTGCGTCTCGTCTTGCTCGACCTGTCTTCCTGCACAGTCGGGGCTGATTGGAGAGGACACGCGAGAGGACACAAGACCCTTCGGAGGGCCACATTGCCACAGGCATGCAGAAGGCACGGGTCGCGAAATAGAGGAGACAAGGGTACCCTCTGTTTGGCGGGGTCGACCTGTCAAACAACCGCGACTGCACCTCCCTGCCACAACGAATCGCGTAGCACAGCCGAAGTCCAGCAAAAGAGCGTTTAGGTTTAAGTCGGGCGTGTCCCCCTACAGGAGGATTTTCGACGAAAAATAAAAAATCCTCAAAAAATACTCCAAAATGGTCCGGAAATACTACAGAAATTGCCCCCAGACTGTATTTGTGACTACTTCTGAATACTCCCCCTGTCGAGGGACAGGCCCGACTTACGTTTAGGTCCAGCCCTGCAGCACCTCGTCTCCCAGGTCCCGCAGCTGCGGCATGTGCCATCGGCGCGGGCCACGGGGAGCGAGGCCGGGGGATGGGGAGAGCGGGGGGCGAGCCCACCCTCACGAGAAGCACCCCGGCGAGCGAGGCTGCCTGCTTCGCAGGCGCACCCAGGGAGGGAGTCGAGCAGGGCAGGGCGGGCTCGTCACGCCCAGGGCCGGTGAGCAAACGCCAGGGATCGGGGCCGGGGTGGTGTTTTCCTCCCTTGAGGGGGCTGACAACCTACCAGACCACCCCAACCTGACCCGAAGACCCCAGCGTTCGGGTTTGGAGGGGGGGGGGTACGGGTTCCACACCTGTTTCTTGTCAGTGTTCCCCGGCCCCCCCCCCATTCTGGAAGTGGAGGGCCTAGTGGGGCCTTCGGGTTGGGCTGGGCTGGTCTGGTGGGCGGCGAGGGGGGGACAAGGAGCGAGCCCGACCTTCAAAGGCAGCGCGCGATCGGGCCGCGAGACGGGCCTTGAGCCAGGCTGCCGACCCACGCGCGAGCCCGCCCAGGCCAGAATCCCCGGGCGCGGCCCAAAATGCCGCCAAGCGGCGGCATCAAGTGCCAACGGTAACTCTGACACGCATCCCGCGTGACCGTTGGGCCTTGGAAGTCCGCCAGACGGCTGCAGACATGCTGCGAAAAGCCCCAACACAGCCACAGAACGGCTCCCGGTGGCCATGGAGCCTCCCAAGGATGCCCCCACGTGGCCAAGACCATTGAAGAACCATGCGCTTTTCAATGACTTCGGATGTCTCGCCTTGCCGAGTCCGATCGGCTTCTGCAGCATCAAGATGGCTCCAAGATCGGCCCAGATAGATCCAAGAGGAGCCCAACAGAGCTCCAAGAGGGCTCCGAAGACCCCCACGAGCATTCCAAGAGGGATTCGAGAGTGGCCCAAGAACAGCCCAAAAGTGGAGACGCAGGGTGGCAGGCCCCGATATAGCCCCCGAACAGCCCCAAGATGGCCCCAAAATGGCCCCCCAAAAAATCTGCTCTGTGCTGCTTCCCTTGTCTTGCCTTGTCGCTGCTGAGGCCTCAAGATGGCTCCACGATCGCCCCAGATGGCTCCAAGGCCTGGAAAGAGCTCCACGAAGGCTCCGAAGACCTCCAAGAGTTCTGAGAGCGTCCCACGAGCGCCCCGAAAGGCCCCATCACTCGCTGCGGCCTGGTGCAAAGCGACTGCACTCGGGGCGGCCCGAGCCGCCTGAAACCTCGCGACCTCTACAGAGTTCGAAGAGGAGCACAGGGGAGGCCAGTCCACAAGAGAAACCCTCCACAAGAAACCCAACCCTGAGACCCCAGGACTTCCGTTGACTTTCGGCGTGGGGACGTCACGAAGGGCCAAAGCAAAACCATCGAAACCCAAGAAACCCGGGGCACCCTGGAGGCAAGCAGGCTGAACCCTGGCATGACGAACGAACAACACACACCCATACCCATAGGAAGGTCGTTGGGCGGAGGACTGGCTATGGGTATGGGTGCGGGTTGTCGGACCCTGGGGAACGCTCCCGTTCGAGCGGGAACCCCCATCCGACAACACGCACCCGTAGCCCTCTCCGATCCTCCTATGGGTATGGGTGTGTGCTGTTGGTTCGTCATGGCGTGTACGTCTCGGAGCGGCAACGCGCACTCGGCCGGCCGCTCTCTGCACCAGAATGGCAGAGCATGAGAGCAGCCGCGAAACTGCTCCCGATTCAGCATGCCCCTCACGCACGCGATGCCGGCCTGAACCTCCGGAGACGCCCAGACATCACAACGGGCATCTGCGCACAGACTGTACCCTGCGAGGCGCAAAATATAAAAAACGGGTGCGCGTCCCGGCTCGTGGGACACACATACAGCAGATCTGCGCTCGCAGGCTCCCGAGGCACGCAAAATAGAACTCGTCTGTGCTCCCCAGGCTCGGGGCACACGCAAGACCTCGGTTAATCGACGCTCAGAGGGCTACGAAGGTCTTAATTCGCCACACCCCTCACGCACGTCGCCACACCTCTTCCAGAGACCCCCACCTTGCCATCACGACGGCGCAAGGCATCCTGATCCGGCACACCCCCCATGCACTGCGCGCATCATGCACCTACACAGGCGCTCAGCTGGCCACCAAAGCAGCTGAGCGGAGGCTCAGTTCGGCACAGCCCTCACGCTTTTCCTGCTTCGAGTGGATGCTCGAAGTCCCGCGTATGGCCCACAAGAGAGCCAAAGAGGGATCCCGAAGCAATGGAACCATAGGGGGTCCCGAACGCCCAGGGAAAGTCATGACGGCCCCGAGAGCAAATCACGACGAGTGGTACGGTCAAGTTGCCACACATAGTGTGCACACGCGGACTTTGAAATGCAATCTAAACGGGGGTCGTTAAGAATGTACTTCAAAAAGTGCGTGCAATCTATACGCGTTTCTATGGGCGTTTAGCGTGCACTAGGGGGTGGCTAAAAAAAACGTATAGGTTGCACGTCAACCAACGTATAGATTGCACGTGCGTTTTCAGAATGCCGATTTCGGCATTTTGGCCTCCGCTGGCCCGAGCCACTTCTGCCTCCTCATCCTTCTCCTACTCCTCCTCTTCCTTCTCCGCCTCATCTTCCTTCTCCTCCTCTCCCTCTTCCTCCTCCTCTTCTTCCTCCTCCCCTCCCCCCTCCTCCTCCGCCTCCCCCTCCTCCTCTTCCTCGTCCTCCTCCTCTCCCTCGCCCTCCTCCTCTTCCTCCTCCTCCACCTGCTCCTCGTCCTCCTGCTCGTCCTCCTCCTCCTCTTCCTCCTCCTCCTCCTCCTCCTCCTCCTCCTCGTCCTCCTCCTCCTCCTCGTCCTCCTCCTCCTCCTCCTCCTCCTCCTCCTCCTCCTCCTCCTAGGTACGTAGGGGCACGTGTTTTCAGAATGTCGATCTGGCTCAGCAGTCCCTTGGGCTGTCCTGGACCTCTCTGGAAACCCTGTTGGGCTGTCTTTGTGGCACTCGGGGCCCTCCTGGGCCGTTCTGGGCTGCTCCTGGAGCCATCCCAAGCTATCTTACAACTCTATGGGGCCCTCTGGACGTCACCTATTGGAGCCCTGACCCAGCCTGTCCCCCCTTGTGGAGCCGTAGCGTGTCCCCTGCCCCTCCCGCTTTCCCTGGGGTCGGGGCCCCCATGCTGGGCTGTCTTGGCGGCCTTTTGGGCCTTCTTGGGGTCCCCATGGGCCGTCCTGGGCCTCTCTGGAAGCCCTGTTGGGCTGTCTCTGTGGTGCTCGGGGCTCTCGTAGAGGCCTCCTAGATGGGGTCGGAGTAGATGGGGTCGGAGGATCGCGCCGCATCGCCGATACATCGGCGATGCATCGGCGATGCATCGGCGATGCATTGGCGATGCACTGGCGATGCATCGTCGACGTGGGCGAACATCGGCGACGCCGGCGCGGAGAAAATCGGGCTCCGCATCGAGCCGCATCGGCGATGCATCGGCCATGCGGCGCGATCCTCCGACCCCATCGACTCCGACCCCATCTGGGAGGCCTAGATCTCGTGGGCCGTTCTGGGCTGCTCCTGGAGCCGTCCCAGGCTGTCTTATAACTCAATGGGGCCCTCTGGACGTCACCTCTTGTAGCCCTGAGCCGCCCTGCCCCTGCTGGAACTGGGGCCCGTATAGCGTGCACCTTGCCGCCCCGCCCCTCCCGTCCCCCTCGCGTCGCGCCGGGCATCCCTGCAGGCCCTCTTGGGTAATCTTGGGCGCCTGGGGGGCCATATTGGCCACCTTGAGGCAACAATCGGGGCCATGCTGGGCTGTCTGGGCGGCCCTTTATGCCTTCTTGGGGCTCCCTTGGGCCGTCCTGGGCCTCTCTGGAAGCCCTGTTGGGCTGTCTTTGTGGCGCTCGGAGCACTCGTGGGCCGTTCTGGGCTGCTCCTGGAGCCGTCCCAGGCTGCCTTACAAGCACTGAGCCGTAAAGCCCCCCCTGCTGGAGCCGGGGCCCTCCCGGCTTCCCTGGGGTCGGGGCCCTGCTGGGCTCTCTTGGCTGCCTTTTTGAGCCTTCTCGGGGTACCCTTGGGCCGTCATGGGCCTCTCTGGAAGCTTGTTGGGCTGTCTTTGTGGTGTTCAGGGCCCTCGTGGGCCGTTCTGGGCTGCTCCTGGAGCCATCCCAAGCGGTCTTACAACTCTACGGGGCCCTCTGGACGTCACCTCTTGGATACCTGCACCTCTGCTGGAGCCAGGCCCCGTATAGCGTGCACCTTGCCGCCCCGCGCCCCTCCCGCCACCATGGGGTCGCGCTGGTCCCCCGTGGGGCCCTCTTGGGCAACCTTGGGCGCTGGAGGGACCTTATTGGCCGGGGTTGGGCAGCAATCGGGGCCATGCTGGGCTGTCTTGGCGGTCTGTGGGCCTTCTTGGGGCTCATTTGTGCTGTCCGGGACCTCTCTGGAAACCCTGTTGAGCTTTCCTTGTGGTGATCGGGGCACTCGTGGGCCGTTCTGGGCTGCTCCTGGAGCCATCCCAAGCTGCCTTACAACTCTATAGGGGCCATCTAGACATCACCTGTTTGAGAACTGCCGCATAGCGTGCACCTGCCCCCGCCCCTCCCGCCACCCTGGAGTCGCGTTCGGCCTTCCTGAAAACCCTCTTCGACAATATTGGGCGCTTGGGGGGACCATCTTGACCGTGGTTTGGCAGCAATCGGGCCCATGCTAGGCTGTCTTGGCTGCTTTGGGGGCCTTCTTGGGGCTCCTGGAAGCCCTGTTGGGCTGTCTTTGTGGCGCTCGGGGCCCTCCTGGGCCGTTCTGGGCTGCTCCTGGAGCCATCCCAGGCTGTCTTGCAACTCCATGGGGCCCTCTGGACGTCACCTCTTGGAGCCCTGAGCCGTCCTGTCCCCCCTTCTGGAGCCGGGGCCCGTGTACTGCCCCTCCCGCTTTCCCTGGGGTCGGGGCCATGCTTGGCTTTCTTGGCTGCCTTTTGGGCCTTCTTGGGGTCCCCATGGGCCGTCATGGGCCTATCTGGAAGCTTGTTGGGCTGTCTCTGTGATTCGCGGGGCTCTCGTGGGCCGTTCTGGGCTGCTCCTGGAGCCATCCCAGGCTGCCTTGCAACTCGATGGGGCCCTCTGGACGTCACCTCTTGTAGCCCTGAGCCGCCCTGCCCCCTGCTGGAACTGGGGCCCGTATAGCGTGCACCTTGCCCCCCGCCCCTCCCGTCCCCTCGCGTCGCGCTGGGCGTCCCTGCAGGCCCTCCTGGGCGATCTTGGGCGCCAGGGGGGCCATATTGGCCACCTTGAGGCAGCAATCGGCCATGCTGGGCTGACTGGGCGGTCTTTTTTATGCCTTCTTTGGGCTCCCTTGGGCCGTCCTGGGCCTCTCTGGAAGCCCTGTTGGGCTGTCTTTGTGGCGCTCGGGGCACTCGTTGGCCGTTCTGGGCTGCTCCTGGAGCCATCCCAAGCTGTCTTACAACTCTATGTGGCCCTCTGGACGCCACCTCGTGGAGCCCTGAACCGTCCTGCCCCTCCATGCTGGAGCCGGAGCCCGCATCGCGTGCACCTGCCCCCCGCTACTCCCGCCCCCCCACTCGGGGGGTCGCGCTGGGCCTGCCTGAACAAAAACCCTCTTGGGCAGTCCTAGGCGATTTGGAAATCAGTTTGGCTCGTTTGGGGTAGCAATCGGGGCCATGCTTGGCTGCATTGGCGGCATTTGGGCCTTCTTGAGGAATCCCTTGGGCCGTCATGGGCCTCTCTGGAAGCTTGTTGGGCTGTCTTTGTGGTGTTCAGGGCCCTCGTGGGCCGTTCTGGGCTGCTCCTGGAGCCATCCCAAGCGGTCTTACAACTCTACGGGGCCCTCTGGACGTCACCTCTTGGATACCTGCACCTCTGCTGGAGCCAGGCCCCGTATAGCGTGCACCTTGCCGCCCCGCGCCCCTCCCGCCACCATGGGGTCGCGCTGGTCCCCCGTGGGGCCCTCTTGGGCAACCTTGGGCGCTGAGCTTTGGGGTAACAATCGGGGCCATGCTGGGCTGTCTTGGCGGCATTCGGGCCTTCGTGATGAATCCCTTGGGCCGTCCTGGACCTCTCTGGAAGCCCTGTTGGGCTGTCTCTGTGGTGTTCGGGGCTCTCGTGGGACGTTCTGGGCTGCTCCTGGAGCCGCCCTTAGCGGTCTTACAACTCTACGGGGCCCTATAGACGTCACCTCTTGGAGCCCTGCCTCCCTGCTGGATGGAGCTGGGGCCCGTATAGCGTGCACCTTGCCCCCCGCCCCTCCCCCCCATCGGGTCGCGCTCTAGGCCTCCCTGCAATTCCTTCTTGGCAATCTTGAGCGCCTTGGGCGCCATTTACCGCGGTGTGGGCAGTAATCGGGGCCATGCTGGGCTGTCTTGGCGGCCTTTTGGGCCTTCTTGCGGTTTCCTTGGGCTGTCCTGGGTCGCTCTGGACGCCCTGTTGGGCTGTCTTTGTGGTGCTCGGGGTTCTCGTGGGCCTTTGTTGTCTGCTCCTGGAGCCATTCCAGGCTGTCTTACAACTCTATGGGGCCCTCTGGACGTCACCTCTTGTAGCCCTGAGCTGTTCTGCTCCCCCATGCTGGAGCCGAAGCCCGTATAGCGTGCACCTGCCCACCTGGGTTGCGATGGGCCTCCAGAGAAACCTTTTTGGACAATCTGAAGAGCTTTGGGGACCATTGGGGCCTTTTTGGGGCTGCCTTGGGCAGTCCGGCGCCTCTCTGGAAGCCCTGTTGTGCTTTGTTTGTGGTGCTCGGGGCCCTCATGGGCCGTTCTGGGCTGCTCCTGGAGCCATCCCATGCTCTTTTACGACTCTATGGGGCCCTCTGGACGTCACCTCGTGGAGCCCTGAGCCGTCCAGCCACCCCCATGCTGGAGCCGGAGCCCACGTAGCGTGCACCTGCCCCCCACCCCTCCCGCCCCCCCCCCCCCCCGGGTCGCGCCCCCCCACTCGGGGGGTCGCGCTGGGCCTGCCTGAACAAAAACCCTCTTGGGCAGTCCTAGGCGATTTGGAGATCATGTTGGCTCGTTTGGGGTAGCAATCGGGGCCATGCTTGGCTGTCTTGGCGGCCTTTGGGACCTTCTTGGGGGTTCCCTTGGGTCGTCCTGCGCCTCTCTGAAAGCCCTGTTGGGCTGTCTTCGTGGTGCTCGGGGCCCTCGTGGGCCGTTCTGGGCTGCTCCTGGAGCCATCCCAAGCTGTCTTACAACTCTATGAGGCCTTCTGGACGACACCACTTGAAGCCTGCCCTGAGCCGTCCTGCACCCCCCTTGCTGGAGCCAGGGTCCGTAGCGTTCACCTGCCGCCCGCCCCTCCTGCCCCCCCTTGGGTCGCGCTGGGCCTCCCTGAAGGCACTCTTGGGCAATCCTGGCCGCTATGGGTACAATGTTGGTCCGCGTTGGGCAGCGATCGGGACCATGCTTGGCTGTCTTGGCGGCCTTCTGGGCCTTCTTGTGGCTCCCTTGGGAAGTCCGGACGCCTTCTGCGAAGGCCCGTCCCTTCTCTCTTCTCCCCATCGCTCGCCGCCAAGTTTGTCGATGGGCAAAGTCCGATTGGGGCGCCCCGAAGGCTCCGCCGTGACTAGGGATGGTGGGTGGGGGCCTGGACTGCAGATTCCACGAGTGGTCGCTGGCCGACGGGCCGTCCGAGAGCGCCTGCGCCGATGTCGGCATCAGCCCCTCGGCAGGGTTCCCCCCCCAAGGGGCGCCATACGAGCATGTCGCTCGGAAGAGGGGGGTTATAGCCGAATAGTGCTCGTATAGATTGCACCTCCAGGGTCGGGCCCAATCGACGTATAGATTGCACGTGCGCACCGAGACGAAGCAAAGTATAGAGTGCACGAACGACTTCCGATTTGTTTGGCATATCTATCGGAATGCGGAGACGCGGCGTATAGCGTGCACACGTTTAAGTGTTTTTTGTTGTCCCTCGAGGGGGCCGTGCACGCTATATATATATATATATGTGGCAACTTGACCGCAGAGACCCTCGTCGAAGCCGTACCCCCAAACATCCACTGCGTGCTCGTTCCCCGCAGGGGGGGCCCACCATGACTCCCGCCATACGGGCCCGATGACGCCAACGGAGAAGAGAAGCACAGAGGGCCCTCTCCCTTTCTCCTTCCCTCCTTCGCTCCACTCTTCGCGTCTGCTGCTGCCGTGTCCCGTCGTCGCTCCGCATTCGTCGTCGTCGTGCGGCTTCCTCCGTGCAATTCCACTCGTGCTGATCGTCCACGTGGGCGCCGGCCCCGCCCTGGGACCGAGGGAGCGAGGGAGAAGCGAGGGGGGAGAGAGGGAGAGAGGGAGAGAGGGCAGGCCTGGGAGGGGGGCGGAGCCGGGAGGAGCGGAGGGTGGACGAGGGGAGTGCGGAGGGCTGGCGGGCGGAGGGGGAGGAGGACGAGGGAGCAGCAGCGCGAACCAGAGCAGCAGCAGCAGCAGCAGCAGCAGCAGCAGCAGCGAGGAGGGCACAGCGAGGCCTTCCTCCAGCTCCGAGGCTGGAGCGCTGGGCGCTCCCAGAGTGCTCACGCGGAGTGCATGCGAGAAGGAGGAGGAGAGGAGGAACGAAGAGCAGAGGCAGCTGGCCTTTGTCAGGTGGAGC